CCCTTGTTCATTTAACAACTGGAATTTTGTCTTATATATTTTGTTATCAAAAGTCAAGCCATTGTGTGAAGCTCCTCTATTTTGATTAAACAGTGAAAATTCCTAAAATTAAAGTGATTTGGTTTCCAGAGCTAAAGTAGCATTATTTTGAATTCTTGCCCAACTATCATATCCTTCCCTCATATCCCCTTCTTCATATCCTCTCCCTCACATCTCCTCCCTCACATCTCCTCCCTCATATCTACTACCCCATATCTCCTCCCTCATGTTTCCTCTCTCATAGCTCCCACTCTCACAGCTGATTCATAAACAGCCTGACTGCAAATAGATACTACACACTACTTATCAATCTCATGAAAAGATCCCACACTTTCCTCTGAAACCTATAAGAAGGGATCTCTGCTTAAGGTTGGAGATGTGGCTCATGGTTAAGAGCCCTCTCTAGTCTTCCAGAAGACCTGTGTTCAATTCCAGGCATCTTCATGGTAGTTTACAAACCCCTGTGACTCTAATTTTAAGAGCTCCAACCCCTTCTTCTGATCTTGCGGGCTCCTGAATTCACATGGTGCACATAGACTCATGCAGGCTCATGCACATACACATAAATAATAAATTTTTGACACTTCAATCTTATGGGGAAAGAAGACACTATAATTCCCCTCAATGGCACTTTTACCTTCAGTTTTTTCAGAGCCTCCACTATGCTGCTGCCTTTCCATGATTAAAAAAAAAAAAAAAAAAAAAAAAAACTTTTTTTTTGAGACAGAACTTCTCTGTGTAGCTCTGGCTATCTTGGCACTCATCCTATGAGGCCAGGCTAACCTCAAACTCTGAGATCTGCCTGCCTCTGCCTCCCAAGTGCTGGGATCAAAGGCATGTGCCACAACACCTGGAAATAATTGTTTAATAAATATTTTGTCCAAAAGGGCAATTTTCTTTATCCCCAAACCCCAAACCTTTCATATTCCCTGCAATTTTTTACTAAATGGCAGACAGTGTGTAGAATTGTTCAAAGCAATGTAAACAACACTTAGGCCAGAAAACTGGCACTTGTCTTCTCTCGTTCATTCACCAGTGTGGGGTCATCAAATCACTCTAGTCAAGAAGAGGGATTGTGTTTGTTGTTGCTATAGTTACCACCCCTACACACTGGTTTCGGATTCCTCTGGGGTATTTCATGCTTGAAATACTTGAGACTGCACGGTGGAGAATATTTCTGTGTCTCTACTTCCCTTTGGGCTTCCAGCCTTCCCTGTGAGCATGCACCACACAGGGGACTTCCTAGCATGATAGTCTGCCTTCCATGGTTGTAATCTACAATTGCTTGTTACTAGGTGCTTGTGTCTCTTAGTGGGATTATCTGTTCTGGAAACTCCTGTGTGCCAGAGCCTCAGAGGTGTAACTTCCTTCTCCCTCCTGACAGCCGTCTGACTCTTCCTCGGCAGTAGGAGAGCACTAATTACACAGCCTAAGAGTCACGTGTGGAACTGCTTTCTACCCCAACCCTGGGATAAAAAGGATGGTTGGCTTTTACTTTTCCCACAGGCAATGGGTTCCCCCTTGTGGTGTTACTTCCCAGTTTGTCCCCCAACTCCTTGCACAGTTGAGAGCATTTGTCCCACAGGGAGCAGGTTCCTGCAGGGTTGACAGTCCTCTCAATCTCAGGAAAAAGGTCACCTGTTGTCTCCTTCTTCTCTGAAGTCTGTCCTCTAAGCACCCCTCAGAGGTTCATGTAGAATAAGCTGCTAATGGTAGAAACTTCCTCCTCCTCCTCCTCCTCCTCCTCCTCCTCCTCCTCCTCCTCCTCCTCCTCCTCCTCCTCCTCCTCCTCCTCCTC